ATTGCCAATTAGTTGTAGTCAAAAATTCTTTTAATTTGAAACCATCTTATTATGGTTTTGCTAGCTAGCTTGGTGCAGCCCTCTGGTACGGGCAATAGCCTTAACCGATGAGGCAGACCGTACTTGGGCACCCATAGAAGAAGCTGAGTGATATCAGATCTGTAACTTAGATAGTATTAATGTTTTACATTAGCTTTGATTTAATAAAGATACCAGCGAGGCTACCGATAAAGAAAAAAAAAAAAAACTGCTTATCATGAATATAGAGTATGTATATAAAAGAAATTTTACTTTCTTGTGATACAGACCCACTGCTATATAATATATCCAAGTCTTTTGTAAGTTTTTTGATGAGTTTTTTGCATTAGACCCCAGATTTTTTAATCAGTGTACTACAGTATTAGATAACATTAATAAAGAGTTGGAAAGTGAGAAAATAGATAATGAAAGCGAAAATGAAATAGTGGACGAAATAATAGATGAAATAGATAAAATGGCAAGTGAAATGATGAATAAAAGAGTAAGTGAACAGGTAGATGAAATAGTGAATAAAAGAGTAAATGAATAGATAGATGAAATGGTAGATGAAAGCATGGATATTTACGAGACTGCAAATAAAAAGGTAAATGAAAGTGCAAATAAAAAGATAAATGAAAGGGTAAATTAAAGTATAAACAAAAAAGCAAATGAAAAAGCAAATAAAAAGGCAAACAAAAGGGCAAACAAAAGGATAAAGAAAAGGGCAAACAAAAGAGCAAATAAAAAAACAAATGAAATGGCAAATAAAAGGGCAAATGAAAAGATAAATAAAAGATTGAATAAAAAGATAAATAAAAAATAAATAAAACAAATAAAAAGGTGAACGAAAGAGTGAATGAAGATACAATCAAAAAGATAAATAAAAAAGCAAATAAAAGGGTAAACAAAAAAAACAAATGAAAGGATGAATATAAAGAAAATAAAAAAGTAAATGAAAGAATAAACGAAAGGGTAAATGACAAGATAGACAAAATAGTGAATAAAAAAATGAATAAAAAGATGAATGAAAGAGCAGAAAGAATAGCAAACAAAGAGGTAAATAAAAAGGCAAATAAAAGGGTAAACAAAACAGCAAATAAAAAAGTAAGCAAAAGAATGAATGAAAGGATAAATAACAAGGTAGATGAAAGAGTGGACAAAAGGGTGTACAAAAGGATAAATGAAAGGATAAATGAAAGAATGAATGAAAGAATATACAAAAAAATAAATGAAAGAGTAAATAAAAGGTTTAAAATAATAAATGAAGAGATGGATGAAACAATGAATAAAGAAATAAATAAAATGATAAATAAAGGCATAGATAAAATAATAAATGAAGAGGTAGATGAAATGATGAATGAAGAGGTAGGTAAAAAAAAAATTATTAAAAAATATAAGTTAATTATTTTATTTATTTAAACAAATAATAATAAAAATTTATTAAATAGATAAAATTATCTGCAAGTGAAACCAACAAAAGTTTATCAACAATGAAAAATGAATTTAAAATTCAGGTAATAATTTAATAATTCAAATTTAATTAAAATTTTATTTTAAATGCATTATATGATGTTTCTGATAAATTTGTTTATTTATTTTGTAGTTTTTTTTAGATAAATATAATTCTTGACATATTTTTTAAAATAGGACCAATATTCAACAAACAGCAGTATATAAAATTTACTGAAGTATAACTACACGATCTCTTAAAAGATATAATGATAATATGAAGTCACAACTAACCAAGCGAAATAAAAAATTTGCAGACAAGTATAATATTAGAAATTTCATTTATATTAAAATTCCTGAAATTGACAGAATGCACAGTGATCAAAAAACATTACTATACAAGATTCTTGAAGTTTTAACAAATGACTCTTATAGAATCAGATATAAATCTAGTATTATTCAAACTACCTAAAAGCTACTAAACTACTTTCTTTAGGTCCCAATGAATTTCCAGAATTAGACAACATTTCTTCAGCTTTTGTTAGTATTCGAGAAGTAGCAATTGCACAATCTTTATTATGAATAGATAGTATATAAAATGTAATTGCAAAAATTTTCAATAATTTAAATTTAAACTGATGGTTACTAACTTGCTAATTCTAATACTAAATACATATTGTTAGTTCTAATAGTTAATAAGAAGCTAACTATTACTTCATTAATTTATAACTCCTAACTACTAATCTATTAAATCTAACTTCAATCACTCTAAACCACTAAATCTAATTCAAACCAATAATATCAATTTTAACCTACTAATCTCACGATTTTTAACTTAATATCCACTAGTAATCAAACACTGACCTAATTATGATCTTTACTTGACTAGTGAGTATTATACTAAGCAAAATTCGCTCTTATATATTTGAGTAAAATACAACATTTAGTAATACTTATTGATGTTATTAAATTAAAATTTCCTAACATAGGCTTTCATCCAACCCTAATAAATCTCTAAGTTTTAACCTGATGCAAGTTTTAATTTGGCGTACAATATCAAACATACAGTATACTGAATATAAATAACTATGTATAAGACTTGTATATTATATAGCTAGAATTTAAAATATATGCACACTTTGCATTTATAAAAAACAATTCAGATTGCTAAAAAAAAAGACATACTTAGTAAAGAATCTGATAATAAAAGATATAATCTTATATGGCAGTTATATACGATAAAATGAGGCAATAATAATATATTAGAGGTTTACGCAAATATATATTATGTAGTTAAACAATTAAGCAGTAAATATTTCAATTGCACATATACACTATTTCGATAACACATAAATTGAACTTCATCTAATCACTTTATAGTTTTTGATCGCTCTATATTTTTCTGCTTAGTTTTCTGTGATCTCTTTAATCGTGTTTTGCATAAAGCATCTTTTTTGGCCTGAATAATAGGATTTTAAATTAGGTATAGATTTACATTCTCAATGCTTTCATTATTATCTTGGAGGTACAATTCACCATTATCATCACAATTTGAGTCAAAATCAGAATCACAAGAAATATCCGAAGAATTTTCTACATTTTGAAATTTAGCCAACAATATTCTTTTGGAGTTTTTGCGAATTGCTTCTTGATTATGTTTTGGCATATGTTTTGCTATAAAATTTTCATAAGTGTGTTTAATTTTTGTATTGCCGAGGGTCCCGTATCCAATTCCATTTGGATCATCTTTTTAGAAAACCTGTTAGCTGTTATGTACTCTTTTCATTGATTTAAAGATTTATA